ATTAGGTATAACAAAGTTATACCAATTAAAAGTTAAAAAATAAAAAATCCTCATTCAATTCACCCACATCACTCGATGTATTTTCCATATATGTTCGTTCTCTTCCTTTTGTTCCATACATATATGATTTATAGTATTTGTCTTTTCTTTCGTTCTGTTAGATATTTTACTTAGTGTATTCGTTTGTTTCTTCGTATGCTTTCTTTTTTTTCTTTGATCTAACAACTCTTGTTCGTTTTCTTCAATCTCTGGTGTTATTCTTTTTTTTCTTTTGTCGTAAAAGTCAAGAAAATGTTTTTCTTGATCTTGCACTGAAATTTGTTGCGCAGTTAGGAATGCATGACTATATAAAAATATATAGGTCAGGGTAATTCGAGTAGAAAGAACGAGAGGAGATTGTTGTTTTTTTGATTCAACAAAAATATAACTGATAAGAAAACCTGAAGTAATATCTTAATAAATACATTATATATATCAGCGTTAATATCGGACATCATATTGACAAAAATGTAAGAGATTGAATATAAAAATTCAGTAGATTTTTAATTTTTTTCATCAAAAAAAAAAGAACATTTTGTTTTTTCCTGTCTTCTTTGTCAATTTTTCAGTAAGAATATAATAGAGTATTTGTAATTATATAAACAAGTGTCTTTTTATGCAAAACTAAACAATTCTTCATAAATCAATTCAAATGTACTCATGTTTTTAATCGAACTATCATTGTTATAATGAATATATTTAAATTGCGAAGACGATATAAAGGACATTCTAGACCCAATCAACTCTCATATTTCTTTTTCTGCGTTCTATGACTGCAAGATTGATGTTTCTTTTCTCGTTAGATGAAATAAGTTGTGTTTATATACAGAAGTAAAAAGAGAACACAAGACTCATTAAATAGTTGTATTCTTGTATCATTAAACACATAGCGCACCTTTTTATCTACTTTGTTTGTTATGTAAAGTAGATCTTTTTTAAGGTAAAAGAATGTAGAGAAGATCTTAAATTTTATCGATATGATTGTTCGTAACGAATGCCAATGAACCAGAATAAAATATTTAGTTCACTATTAATTGATTTTTTACTAAATTGAATATTGTCATTAGTAATTTCCTTTTCTTTTTTTCTAGAACTTGTCTTTTTCCTTCTTTGCCTACTCGACATTTTATTTGTTTTCTCGATAGTCTTTATCTTGTTTTTCTGTGTTCTTGGCTTTTCTTAACTCTTTCATGATATGAAGATACGGTTATTTGAGTCGTTACTATTAATAAATAGATTACACACGCTTTATTAAGCTATTTGAAATAAGAACATTTGTAAGTGATTGTATCGAGAAAATTTCGGTAAGGAATTTTTCTATATATCTCGAGATTTAAAGAAGATATATAAATATTAAAATTTTATTAAATAAAGATTAATTGTGATTGTATTTCTCTGAAGTTTCGAATATTATTCATCCATACATTAGAAAACAAAAGTTACTGGACAAATGAAAGAATTCAAAATAATTTCATTATTAGAAATACAATATAAAAAGCTGTCACGTTTGTGTTGAACTATAGAAGAATGTTAAGTAAGCTGTCTCGTCAATAGTTTTATTAAATCAATCAAAAGAATCTCTTTAAAACAATACAGCTGGAATGTAGAAGCCATTGAATTACTATAAATATGCATTAGAGATAATTTGATTGAAATACATTGATTACAATACATCTATATATATCTATATTTGAAAACAATGTTTCTCTTTTATTTTATATTCATAAAAAAGCAATTGAGCACATAGTAGAAGAGCTCATGACACTTACGTATCAATGCTTTGACTTTTAAAACCATATATCATTGAGTATAATCGGTAGTGAAGCTAGAAAAAGTGTTGCCTTTGGTGATAAAAGTTTCTTCTTTTCTAAGATCATTACTACTTATATTATACAATGATTATCATTATATTTTAGATGGTTAGCGTACCTGATTTTTGTCATAATACTAGTGTAATATTAAATGAAATATCTTATCAATATCTATCGGAATGCTGGGCTGAATGGCGAATATCCGAATATTTACGTATATATTTACCATTGATTATTTTACCTATATCACTTATAAGTAATTGTTTATCATTTTCTGCTTTACGAAGTCGTCATATGCGTGGAACAGCAACAGCATTTTTTATGCTTGTACTTAGTGTACTTGATCCACTTGTTTTATTAACCAAGCATCTTGTTTATTTTCCAACATTTCTTTCAACTAAGGTTATATTATGTAAATTTATTTATTTTCTTATCTATGTTGTTGGTTATACAAATGTTTGGATACTTGTTATAATGACAGCTGATAAATTTTTTGCTGTATGGTTTCCACTTAAAGTTGCTTATTTTTGTACAATAACTCGAGCAAAATATGTTTGTATATTTCTTCTTATAACAACAAGTATTATATCATTTCATCATTTTTGGACAATTAAAAGTTTTCCACATCCAAAAGATGCAACAAAAGGTGTTTGTTTTTATGATATGTCACATTATAGTTCAATACAACATATATGGCGTTATATCGATTTTATTATATGGTGTTTTTTACCATTTATTCTCATATCAATGTTAAGTATGTTAATTATTCTAAAATTACGTCAAAAACAAAATCATTTACATTCAAATATTCAAAAAATCATGTATACAAATATGAAATCTAGAGAAGGTAAAATGAATAAATATCTATTGGAAATAGATAGAAATAAAAAAAAAGAAAAATTTAGTAATTTATCATTTTTATTCCCTCTAGACATTATATATTCCATATGCATAAATTTCGTTGTATAATTTTGTTTATATTTTCCCGTATGTATTTCGATATGCCAGAATTTATAATACACTTCGTATTAACTATGAAAATTGATATTCTTCTCTCTAATCATATATAAATAATATTATGTAAATAGATTATCTATTTAACATTTCTAAACTATTAATCTTTGTCTTTTGCACTTGCTGACATTTCTAATTTAAACTAAACTAAAATAAAAGTTTATGAATTTTTTCTTTTAAGTTGAAAATAAAAATCATTTGAATACCTACAAAACAGGCAATCAAGATATTGTTATGCGTAGTAATCAAAAAACAGACATTATTCGTTTACAACATCGTCATATAACATTTATGTTACTTGCTGTTGCTGGTGTTTTTCTTCTTTGTACATTACCTAATAGTATTTATTTTGTACTTGAAATTAGATATGGTTTTAATAAACAACCAACAGTTAATGATTATTATCAATGGTTACGTTATCGTCGATTAACAATTTTAACTATACTTATGTATCAATTAAGTGATTTACAACATGCAGCAAATTTTTTTATATATTTATTAGCTAGTGGTAAATTTCGTCAATCAGTTCTTAATACATGTGTATCAATAATACATATTTTGTCAGCATTATTAACTTGTTCATATCATCATAGGACAAATTCAAAGCAGAATCGCAATAAAAGACATGATAACGGTCAATATGGCATGTCATCCCATCCAAGTGCATCTGAAATGTTGAATATAATACGACCTTCGCGTGATACATCTAATAAGTCACAACAAGCAAAAGTTGATTACAATTATCAAGCATTCTTTTCAAAATCAACAACAACCAAACTATTATAAGTTGAAAATAAGAAAATAACTTTATGATATATATATGTATCATAATCATTTAATATTTCTATTTGTTATAAAAAGAAAAAACGAATTTAGGAATAAAATTAAAAAGAAAAGAAAACATAACACCGGCAAATATGTTTACACTTGTAGATGATTCCATGATGTAGTCCGTAGAATATCTTTTAATAAATGAGAATTTTCATTTTCAAATTCAGTTATTTTAGCTGAAAAACGTTTATTATTATAATATGATGTTGTATTTGGTGTTGAATCATTATCATCAATAGTTAAATAAGTATTCGAATTTACTGGAGTATTAACATGTTTTCTTATTGATTGACGACGTGAATGAGATGTACTTGTACGAGAATTAATTGGTTCTTTACGTATGGCTGTTGCTGATATTGATAATGGTCTTTTATCATTTTCATTATTATTATTACTATGTTGTTGTTGCATAGTTAAATTAGTAAAATACATAACATAGAATGGAGATGAACCTGATTTCGTTCCTTTAGAACGATGATCTTTTCTTTTTGAATATGATTTATTTGATAATAATGATGGTGATAGATTTAAAGGAAAAATAATTTCATTTCCAACATTTGATTGTTGTGGAATTTGATAAGCATGAGTTATAGGATGATTTATTTCATGTTGATTATTATCTTCAGCATTGATTATTGGTGATGATTCAGTTATACCTGATAAACTTTGTGTAGATTTACTATATATATCCATCGTTCCAGGAATTGATATAAGTGTATGTATGGTATTATTTGTTATAGCTGATGGATAACGTTGATGGCTACCATCGACTAAATAATTGGTACATGCAGATGAAATACGATTTGATGTTGAATATGACAAAGCACTTCGTGGAGTACTAAGTGTATCCTAAAATAAAAATATCTTAAAGTTCTACATAGTAATATTAATAGTACAATATAAAATTTACTAATTTGTTGTTGTTTTTTTTTCTAAAATTGATCTTTGGTCATCTAATGATGCATATTAATGATGAGATATGTTTTGTTTTTATAACGAGTATTAACAATATGATAATATATTGTAAGCAAGTTTATATCTTATCAGTCTATCAACAATTATCATTGATACTGGTTAACTTACTATCTAATCAAGGTCATAAACAGAAAGTCTTTGGTAAAATAGTACCAAGCTTGTAAAATAATTCGAATGTGTAAATGGGCGTGAAGGTTAATAGATTTTATCGTTTCTCTCTGACTCATAACCATTATCTATTGTGAATAAAAATCTATTTCCAGGAGCATTATTTGTATCAAACACATTGTGGTCTTTTTAATATTTGCTTTTATCCCTCTTCTCGTAGTATTGTAAGTGCTTCGGAGCAGTACAATATTCTAATACTCTGCTCTATCAAAAAAAATGTCATGACGTCATAAGACCATTTTAAAATGTCTGTTTCAGTTTATATCAAAACATCATTAAAAATGTTACGCACTTCTGTATTTTTCTACTTCACAGTAGATATGCGTATGATTATCCTACCCAGCAGTGTAGGGTAAGAGTTAGAAAGTTTTTCTCAATCAGAGTACAGGATACGAAAAAAAGCTTACTCTGCACTTCTCTATCATGACACTATTTTACTATTTATTACTTTTAGAGTCCTTCAAAATAGGGTAGGATTAAGGAAGAGTGAGATACAAAATTTTAGAGGGCAAGGTAAGGGTAGGGTAGGATAATGACTAAAAAATTCCTCTCAGTCAGGGGTTACAGAGTACGAGAAACATTTCCACTTCAGACATGGGATTAGTTTGTGTTTTTTTTTTGAAATCGAACCAATCCCATTTCCGTCCTATATATTGTTATTTATTAACTTCTAGTTTAATTGTATATTTCTATATGTATTATATAGATTACATTATGATTGTTGTTTTCTCTTCTTAGTTTAAACTTCAATATTAAATAATAAATTAAGTTAAAACTCTATACCCGATTATGTTGAGTTCGTAAAATTTTGTTTACATCTCCATGTATTTTTAATTTATTATTAAGATGATCAATTTCTGATCTTAATTTATTTGAAGTACGTGATGGAATAAATGATTGTTTTGGTGATGAATCTTTTAAATCTCGATGTGTTGAAGAATTTGTTTCATGTAATTTTTGTCGACGTATTGGTGATGGTCGAAAACCAGTTCGTAAAACATTTTTACTTAAAAAAAAATTATTTGTTGTATTATTTTTTCTATCAACACGATAATATTGTTGAATTTTTGAATGTTTTTGTTCAGATGATATGGATAATTGATTAGTTGAAGTAGTATGATGAGATTGACGTGATACTATAATTGGTTGATTTTTTATTGATTTAACTTCTTGTATAGTATCACCAGCAAAAAGTCCTGTTTTATTTTTTGGTAAACTAATTGTTGTAGTAGCTCTTGTAGCTGTCATCTTATAAGAGATGAAATAAAGCGTATTATGGATTGTGACAATACACACACACACACAAAAAAAACCGAGGCAGCTATGTTTCTAATTTGCAACGAAAAGAGCAAACATACAATAGAGAAAGAAAAAAAAAAAGAAAACTTATTGTTACATGTTATATCCAACATAGTTACTCAAATATAAAATGTTTCTTCAAGAGGTAGAAAGAAAAAAATAAGTAACAAAAAAATTCTCGTCGTCATCATATAAAACACATGAATTTCTTGTATGATTGGATTATATATATATGACATAGTTATAAAAGAAACTAGAAAGGAATTATTGCTGATTTTGTAACTATTCTTTTTTTTTTTGCTTTTCTTTTCTTATTTGTGTTTGATATGAAAGAATAAAAATATTCATCGAATTATTTTTCTTCTTTTAAAATAATGAAAATTTTTGTTTTTTGTTCTAATCAATGTGAAGTTTTATTTACTATATTTCAAAAAAAATATCGAATAAGTATATAATAATAAAATGTTATTATGTTTTTATTGTTTGACTTCCATCTATAATATATTCTATCGATATTTTGAAATAAGATCATAATTTAAAATAAACAACAAACGAATTGAAATCTAAAAAAATTTCCAAGAATTGTTTGCACATCACCAACAAAAAAAAAATACTTTACGGACAATATGGTGCATAATATCTGTAGATCAATAATCGAATATATAAAAAATTTTATAGACTTTTAATTATGAATGAATAGTTTTTGATATTTTCAAATTATTTCAAAAACTTTGAATTCAACAATTTCGTAAACTAAATACAATATGAACTATTCATAATAATACTATAAAAAAAAATTTAAAATATCTTCGCTTTAGTTTATTTAAATAGGCTGATTTTTTTTTGTCTTATAATAGAAGTTTCTTCAAAGCTTTTTTTCTTCATACGAATAATGTAAAACAAATACTATTATTGTTGACCTCAATGATGCAATTTTACCTGCACTCAAATGAGAAAAGTACATATATAATGCTCCAGGATAATTTTCAATTATTATCTAAAAGAAGAAATTAAAATCAATTTTATGAATGATATTTCAATGATATAATATATTGAGTACATTTTTCACGACTATGTAGTTTGTTTAAATGTTGAAATTCATGATCGATCATTAAAACCACGCAATTGAAGTACTACATCGGTAATTTTGAAAAAGCGCAATGCTCTGCGTTTGAAAATTCGAAATATTGAAAATCGTTGATTTTTAAACTAACTAATCCTGAAAATTGACTCAATACAATTGAATTCAGAAAGCTTGTTTAGATTCTCTTAGGTAATGATCACTGGAAATTATCTTGGAACATTACACATTTTTCTTACCTCAATACAGGTAAAATTTCTTTAGTAAGTTCAACTATAGTCGTATTTAAGCAGAGATATTTCAAAATTTTATCGTAATATTATTGATAGTTCATACGGTATATTACATAGTAGTATATTTACTATTTTCTATTATCTTATAAATTAATTTTTTATTTAGTATACTTTGAAGAAATTCTGTCATAAAATGTTCATTGTGCTTTGTTAAAATTTTACCCTTGCTACATTTTTCTTCTCCATTGTCAGTGTGATTTTGATTATTTTGATTGTGATTTTTTGCTTCTTTTATTATCAATATTAATCTTTGATAGTAACTATTTTTTTTCATACTAAACAATGAAACTGATTCTCATTTGAAATGTAGACATTAAAGATGATGTTACATATGATTTTTATTTGGCAACATAAGATTACTTGTTTGTTTTTTCTATAATGTTTATTCAACGGTATTTTTTTTTCTTATGTTTTGATTTTATGAGAACAAGATAGAGAGAAAAAAAACACAAATATTGAATTTCTACATTATACTTTACATTGAAGAGTTTATTTACGTATTTTTAATGAAATATTGGTAAAGTAACGGTGGGTATTCTTTGCAAATTTTACTTTCAAAAAATATTCGCTGTAAACAGACTAAAAATGTTATCATTAAAATACTTTTATAGTTCCTAATCGAATTCTGATAGTTATTTTATTCAAGAGATAGTTGAACATTTATTTTTTTTTAAACTACATATTAGTCTATAATTTCCACTAAGATTTTTTTTTTTTTATTGGTGAAGACGAATACATCGGAACGTCTTTTTCTTCAATATTATATAAGATAAAACCATTTTAAATTCAACCGTTTTTTACAAAACATCGAAAAAATGTATAAAATTGATCTGACGTTCAGATCAAATGTTGACAGAAAGTAAGAAAATTTGCTTAAAAATCGAGAGAAATCCATATTTTTCGAGGGACTAAATAGACAATTTTATTGACTTAATATTAGGATGTGTGAAAATAATTATTCGAATTATATCTTAAAATACAGATCTGAAGTCTCTCTATTTAAATCACATATCAAAACCAAAATTTTATCCGAATAACACATCATTTTCATGCATTTTTTGCAATGTTTTGCAGACATAATTGATTTTAAAATGATTTCGTCTTATATAATATTGGAGAAAAAGACGTCCCGATGTCTTCTCTTTCGACTGGTGGAAACTGCAGCTCTGTAGCTCTTTCCATTCTTGAGTTATTGCAAAAATACCCACGACTGTTATTTTTTTAAACAGGCAATACTATTTCGTATCCTGAAATTTCAATGTAAGTAGAAAATTTACGTTTACAAAATCTGAAACTGTCACAATGCATTAGTCTCATCATAAACTTTATTTACGTAAAGATTGAATTTGAACGTGTAATGTAACAGAAGTCAGGGAAATTTATTGAAAAACTCATTAAAATCGTGATCATTGAAAAAGAAAGATTTGAGGAGATGAATCATTTTAGGCTTTTCATATTCTCCATATCGTCTATCTAGTAAGATAAGATTTATAACTTGGCAGAGTTTTCTTGTCAGAATCTTTCAATCGTATCATTCCTGGTTGGTTTAGCTTTTCAAAGAGCTTTTCCAGATTTATAGTGCAAATAGTTTTTAGACTTCTCTCTCATATAGGAATATTTCAAGATCTAGCTACGTGTACAAGCCAAACGATAAGACACTTTCTATTAGTCCTTTGTTTACAGGACTCATATATATATGAGCTGAGCTTTTATGAAGATTTTAACTTTTACAATTTTCTCTCTTTCCCTTATGCTTTTAGTATCAAAGCGTCATTATGGGATATCACTGTACAAAGTAGAAAAGAAGAAATTTTGGATTTAGAGATCTATGAGTATTCATAGACTCTCTAGACCGAAAATTGTTCAAAGTCCTGTGAAGTCAAACAACAATCCGCAAAATTTTAAAACCATTGTCGTCTCAGAAAGTTTCGATTACTGCTCAAGTTCTAATATTACAGAAAACCAAACGTTCAATCTTATTAAATCTATATTATAATTATAGAAACATAGTGTTATTCATGGAACTACGCAAAATATTCTACAAGGTTTTGAGTAATTCTATTCAACTCTACAAATCCTGAATTACATAGTATTGATTGAAATCTAACGCAACTTGCTGTGTTCCTATGACGTATATATCTGTTTTCAGACTTCTATAAGCAAACTTACATTTTTTGTCATCTTTGAAAAATTTTTTAGCCGAAGAGTTAGACATATTTTCAAAATTTTGCACATGTCTACTTGTTGAAAAGTTCCAATTTGATTGCAAAACTAGTCGTCGTCATTATTAATCTCTATCACAATATCAAACATAATAAAATCGATGAAATACTGTGAGATTTGTAGATCGCTCGATGAAAACATTAGATCGTTAAATTTCAATTTTGTGAAACACGATCTAAAAGCAGTGTTGTAGTATTGAGAGTAAAAATTTGGACTCACTCTCCATCTCTGCACAGACACCCCAGCAACCCATCACAAACTGTACCAGATATGCTAGCGTTCCCATCACACATCGTGATGGACACCTTGGGAACTCTCTCCTCGAAGATACGAATAACAGCTATATCGTCTTTTACATTTTAATTTCGCTGAGATTACGCTAACAACTTTTCTTTTTTTTTTTTTGGAAACAACATCAAAATTTTTTTAAAATTTCGTTTATCAAGTAAAAACTTAATTCATTCATTCATTCATAAAGTAATCAAAGACACAAATCATCAATCGTTCTATGTCTCGTCAAAATAAAATACTTAATTCTACGTTCAATAAATTAGATAGTTTATTTTATAAGCTTTTTAATGTAATATCACAGTAAAAGAAAACAAAATTATTAATAGACAACTAAAGCAGATATTATAAAAACTTAAAAGAATACTAGTTTGTGTTTTAAAAATAAATTAGTTCAATAAATCATTTGCAATCTATTTTGTATGTAAATAAACGAGATTATAAACCGAAAAAGAAAGAAAAAATAAAATGAATAGTTTCAAATAGGTTCTATTATCACAGAATTATTTTTCTACTCGACGTTGACGAACTATCTGATCAGTTGTTGTTTCTTCTTCTAGATCATCTTTTGTTTGTGCGACATCAGAAATATTTAATTCATCATCTGAACTATCACTTTTATTCAATTCAGATGTATCATTTTTAACTTCTGTTTGTTGTGCTGTTGATGATGTACCAGTTTTATTTGTTTGTTTTTTTGATTTTAGTACTTTTTCTGCATCAGTTTCAACCTAATGTTTACAACATAATAAAAAAAAAATCTTTATTGTTCTTATATTTTTTTTTCGTACCAATTCTCTTTTATTTTTTCTAGCAGCATTCATATAAATATAAGATAGAGCAGCTATACCATTATCAACAATCAAAACTGTAATCTATACACGAAAAAAACAAACAAAGAAATATTAAATAAAATTAAAAACAAAAACTATACATACAAATCCAACGAAAACTCCTAGAGTAATAATCGCAATACCCAGGATAGTATAAATAAACCATGTTGGCAATCCGTGTTGATCGTGTAATAACGTATAAGCATTCTAGATATTTATAAGATAGTTCAATTTCATTATTTTCTTTTTTTTTCTGCTTTTTAACATACCTTAAGTACTACAGATAACTCAAGAGCCATGCTGTTTAATGACATTCTTTTAAAGAAAAGAAAAGAAATAATGAAATAGAAATCTAATTGAATAATCTAATCTACATACAAATAACTATTTGGAGCAGTATATGATGATAGTGGTTCTGTTTTTTGCCAATCTTCATTTTCAATATAATTTTGTAAAGCATGTAATGAACGTTCACCATTATATTCACGAAAAACACCATCACGTACACTAGATTAAAAGAAAAATTAGTTATTACAATATTTCATGAATAGAAACTTCAGGCGAGAAACTAAAATACGAATAGATTGAAAGTCAATTAAAAAAAAAGAAAACTTGTTCCAGAAAAAACACAGTGAATATAATTAAAAACTGATTGCTTAGCAACCAATGTAGGTAAGAGAAATCGTAGCAAACTTTTTTTAAATATACTTACTAAAAAATAGTAGGTAGTGACGAAATACGAAAACGATTTGAAAGTGAAGGATATTGATCAATGTCAATAGCAGCTACTTTAATGTTTTTTGATGACATAGCATAAGAAAAATCCTTCCATGTTGGTTTAAAATATTGACAAGCAGAACACCATGTTGCATAGCTAAAGAAAAATATCAGATAATTTTCAAATAGAAATCAATAAAATGAAAAGATGAAAATTACAATTCTACCATCCATTGACCATTTAACATATTTTTCCATGTTGTGTCTGTTAGTTCAAGTGGTTCCGTAGAAATTAGATAGGGAAGAAGTAACAAGAGAAGAAAAGTTTTAGCAAACATATTTAAGTTCTACAAAGAAAAAACAAGCAAGAAAGAAATGAACAGATGGTTACTGATGCATGATGATAATAAGAAATAAATGGGTATTGAAGTGAAGAAAGAAAAATGACACAAGTGTTTCAAATATTGGCTTAAAATAATGTTCTAATTATATAGGTAAGCGATAGATGTCATAGAATTATTATTTTTAAATGATTTAAAAACGAATTATTTTAATAGAATCTAATAATTTAAGTAGAATTTCATTGAAAATAGTTACCCAACAATGACAATTACACTAAAAAAAGGAGAATACATGTTACGGACGTCGCCAAAATATTACCAAGGAGGCTGTACAATGCAAGTAAATATTTTTAGTTTGTCCATAACATAACTCAATTAATGGTTGAATAGCTTTTCGTGAGTTCAGAACGAATGCTCTAATTATTCTCTGGACTAATTCAAGCTTTCCATGCGATTGAATATAATCTTGAATCTTGTATAATGAATTTAATAGTTTTAAAACGAGTTGATCAAGATGATTTTTTAGTTCGGCTTTTTTTTTCTTTAAACGAAATGCAATAGCAGCATACAACGCATGGAAGATTAAGTTAATAACTACCAAGAAAACCTTCTCAGATGTTTTCTTGGGATTTCAATGAGTTTTTTTTGTTTATACATACTAGTACATAGTGTTCTAATAAAAATTCGAAACAAATTTTAGTTTCTATTGAGATTTGATTAAGCTATCGAATTTTGATCAGAAACTTTGCACATAGGGAAAACTCAACTAGATTACCTTCCATGACAAATTCAGAAGTTTTGAGCAAAAATCTCTTCGAGATATGAAACTTTCAAAAAAATAAATAAATCTATACAGTAAACAACAATATGGACATTTAGTGGAAAAGATATTTTTCGTAATTTGAATAATGTTCAATATAGTTTATTCAAAGGTCGATTTTTCTGTTCACAAAAATTAATCTAACTCTATACCCTATTGAGAAAAAAATTTTAGATCCAAAAAAAAAAATGTTCAACTTTATATCATTTTAGAGAAAAGTATTTTTTTTCAAGCAAAATAGAAAGATCTAAGAAGTAAACCATATATATATTCTAAAAGCAAAACTTGGGCTCTATCGTTCTATATGAAAAACTTTGTTCTAATATTTTTCCTATTGGAAAAAATATGCATGTTTTCTTAACTAAGACTTTTTCAAAAAGGTGTGTTCAGTGTAGTCGATGCACACACTTTAACACAGTTCCTAATTCGATGAAACTTTTACAGAATGTTATTTTCTGTCGGACATGTATATTAACTTAGGATAAAAGATGTGTAAATGCTTCTGAACTGAGCTAAAACTTTTCTGCGTTCATTTATTGCAGAAACATTTTAGGAAAAAAAATAAGGAGATATTCGAAATGAGCGTGAAAAATTGTATTGATTGATGTGTTGCTTGTTAATTTTTAAAATAAGAAAAAAAATGTTTTCAATAAAAGTTTAGTGTAACTGGCCTTCTCAGGCATTTTCTATCAAAGATATGTTTTTTGATGAATTTCACTTTCTTTTTATCAATCTGTTTTTTGAATACTGAAAAACTTGACAGAAAATGCATAATATCCATGTGCTTTACAGAAATTGCTAACAGTACACTATCTGTAGTAAAGGATCTTTACCTTGAAAGTCGCATCTCTCGAAGAAACTTTATTCAAACCTTATGAATTTTTATATGGAAGCTAATCTGGTTGAGTTCTCTATATGCATCAAGTTTAAGATCGAAATTCACAAATATGAGTTTTTCGAAAACTTAGGACCTCCAGAAAAAAATTCGATAGTTTAATCAAATATCCATAGAAACTGAAATCTTTTTTAAGATTTTTATTAGAATGCAATGTAATGATCTCTGATTCATACTTTAACCACAAATCTAAGATATTTTAATAATACGACATATTTCCGTAAGAATAAAATGAATTGTCATGTACGCCAACATACTGTACCGTGATAGCTCTTCATATAAATTACACTTTGATTTAAATTGTTTGATAATTTCAACAACGTCTTTCAAATATACGTCGACAATTTCATAGTTGCTTTAATTGACAAAAGTTTTTCTCTCTCTTAGATCTTGTTTTTATGTTATAAAATCTTCGAAGAATCAACTTCTTTGATGAATATCATATTTTGTAAGATGCAAAAAATTAAAAAATATTTCATTCGATTTCTTGATATCACATTCTGTTTCTTTAATTCTTTCTTTTAAACTTGGAAAAAAAAACAAAGAACAATAAAATAGTAAAATGTTTAATTTAGCTATTAATTCATCGTAACAAAGCAAAGTATATCAGCCTTCCAGGTTTATATTTTCTTTTGTTGATAGCACAGTATAATATTATCCAAACAAAATCGATCGAATACTTTCCAGACCACAGAAAGAAAAAAAAACTAGAAGGAAAACAAAAAAAAAAGAGGAAGAGGAACTAATCTAATAGTATGAGGAATAAAATTTTCTTTTTCTTGGATTGGAATCATTATTTTAAATAATACCATGATCACGTAATACACTTGTCACTGAATTGTAAACAAATAGAAAATTTTTACTTAAAGTACTTGTATCAACATTCATTTGATTATTAACTGGTTTTGTTTTTATCGTTAATGTATTATCAATTTCATTTTTGTCTACAGTTGTTTCAATTTGTCGAATTATATTTTGATTTTCATCAATTAATATAGGCTTATAAGTTGGTTGTTTACGAAAATTTTCAATAAGTTCAAGTGATTGTTGATAAACATTACTAACTTTATTTGTTGCATCAATTGAACGATGAATATTTCGTTGACGATAAAATTCAATCTTAATAATAATAGAAAAAAACAAAAATAATTTATTTGAAGAAATATATATATATATTTTTTCTATTGAAATCTTTTACCAATGGTGTCGTTTGTTTATGATAAGTATGTAATCGAGCATTAAGTGTTTCAGTCGTATCATCTGAACGACGTTCAAGTGGTTCACCTGTTAAATCATCTTTCATTGATTCTTTAGGTGGATTAAATTCTTCATGATATGTTCGACCAGATGGTTTATGAATAAGTCGACCAAGAATACGTCTTTTTAATAAATCATCTGGAATCTAAATTTCAACAATAAAGTTTCTTTTCAAGATCATACAGTAAAATTCCGAAGAATCTATTATCTTATCAATAGGGAACAAAGTTATAAACAAGTGAAGTATTGTTATACTCTACTAATCTTTACTAAAGCAGATTGAAAAGAACAAAGCTCAATTCAATATTATGAATATATTACATAATAACAAAGTTCACCAATGTTAGGAGTAGATATAGACAAGATGGTGCCAATTCTGCGATCAGGACCAACTCTTATTCATTGAAAACGATATGTTTTATGGCCATGTAAAACTTGCATTGAATGTCATATTGTCACGACTGATGTGTTCTAAATAGATATAGGCAAGACTATCTCGGGACCAAAAACAATTATTCTTGATCATGTCTAGTTATTAGATGCTCAATCATGTAAATAAAGATTGAATTCAACCGATGGATGTCAGTACTGTTTTCTAATAAAGATTCTAGTGATACATGTAGAGAGATAAAATATCATACGATATTACAGTGTACGTCAAAAGTCTTGTACCACTTTTTTGTTTTGAGCCGTGTTTCTAAACTACACAATACTAACTTTATTCGACTAAATGCTTATATAGTAGAGGTCGAGTACTATGTATTACACACCTGTTTAGTATGGTAAAGCCTTAAAAATGAAATACAAAAAAAACTTCACTACTACAAAAGAAAAGACAAAATGATATTATTGTTACAAATCGAATGATATATATAATAAATCTTATTTTTATAAGGCTTTGAAGAAATTAGTAGAATTAATTTACTTACAGATGATTCTGTACCCAAAGCATGATCAATTACTGATCCTTGTAATCCTTGGTATTAGTCGAAAATGTTTATAAGAAAATTTTCTTATTTACAATTTTGTAGAGCTTTTCACGAGCTGCAAGATTATATACTTAGCACTAATGATTATCCTCTTTTTGGTAAGAAAAAAAAGTCCGATTTTTCAATGATTTACCATAGTTTTTCACTAATGATAAGTCTCCGTGTCTTCAATAGTGGCGAGCATAAAAGATAGGATTAGGCCAAATTTTCTCAGAAATTGCCTACGATGTAATACTACAAAACACCATTTGGAAGTTGGAGTGTAAGTACGATTGAAAGGAAGATCCACACTCTCTCGATTCTGAATAGGTGACCTAGTCCATTTTTGTTTTTATTGTATGTCTCATTTTCAAGGCTTCATCGTATTGAACAAGTGTATATATATATAGAGTACTCAACTTCTACTATACAGACATATAGTCGAATTAAATTAATGTTGTGTAGTTTCAGTACATGACTCAAGACAAAAAAAAAATGGTGTGAGATTTTTGACGTACATTGTATATGAGTATAGCGTATGCTTGTGTTGGACCGTATATCAGTATTCGAGAAATATAAAAGTTTCGAATGTTATGTTTTAGAAACTCTCTGTCAGTACTAAACTCGGTGAGAATAATCTTAGACAGATTTCTGTCCCGATTCTAGTGAGAGTGTCAGTTCGATCGGCATCTTTTATAACCCTTAGAAATGTAAATTAATAGCCTAAACTACTCCAATCGAGACACAAAAATAAATATTGAACAATATATGAAATAAATTCCACTGTGCTCTATTGTTCTATTAATTTAAATTTCGAGTACAAAACTCAGTTTGCTTGTTCTATATCTTTACAAGCAAAAAAAAGGTCAAGTAGAAGTGAAGTAAAAAAAAAAGAAAAGATGACATGATATACATATTCTATGATAAGATTATTTTGAAATACATACAGCATATTCTAATACAGCATCAAGTCGTTTTTGTTTTGATTCAAGTAATTCTTCAAGTTTTTCACCTTGATTTATTGTACGAGGAAACCCATCAAATAAAAATCCATTACGACATTCAGGTTTATTTAGATTTTTATCAATTAATGATAGAACAATGTCATCATCAACAAGACCACCAGCTTCCATTGTTTTTCGAATACGTTGACCTTCAGATGATGATTGATCATGAGCTGCTTGACGAAGTAAATCACCTGTTGATAATTGACATATTTTATAATGTTCCGTTAATCGAGTACTTTGTGTTCCTTTACCTTAAAAACAAAAACAAAAAAAGAATCACTAGAGTAAAATTTTTATTGTTTATTTTTACCACTGCCAGGTGGTCCAATTAGAACAATATTTGCACCAGTACTAGTTCCAAGTTTATTATCAATACTTTTCAATGATGGTTGAGTCTGTTGATTATCTTTATTTTTTGTTTTTGTTGTTGATTCTAATGGTGAAGACATGATTAAATCTGTAAAAATAAAAGACAAATTTAAAAATCATATCTATTTGTTGTTCAAATTATCAAGTATAATAATACTTGATATATTTTAAAATATTCTATATTGAAATTTTACAAGAAAGAAAAACAAATACTAATAACCAATGTAAAGGTATTAGACAAGAAAAAAAAATTAAGATTATTCTGATTAATTTCGATTATAAAATTATTCTAAATAATATGACTTTTATATGATAATAAATGATAGAATTTTAAATTAGTTTTCTTTGATTTGTATTGATTCTAATCGATTGTTTTTTTCTTATTAATATGTACTTGATTGTAATCGAAAATAACTCGATTGATCGATGAAATTTTAATTTTTTACATTAGTTTTAATTACAATTGATTTCTAATAAATTAATAATCTATTAAAAATCTATGATTCTAACCTAACTTTTCGTCTAATTGGTGTTTTACATAGATATTAAACAGAAGTGGACATCTATTATTGTTATTTAACTTTTATTTCGCACAGAAAAATGATATGATTAGTTACGAAATAGTGTAAGACCTATATCGTGCCTTCAAGTAGCATAGATGGCGTAGTTTTACACGCGTACTAATATGTTAAGACCCTTTAAAAATTAATCTAGAGTCAGGTGCATTCAAATCACATGCAATTTTCAAGATATGTTGGAACTATAGTGGAGAGGCTATGATAAGAGCGTCAACTTTATATCATGATGTTTTCGAAAGATATTCAGCTTTTTATAGATTTAATTTTGTTTTTTATTTGAAAGAACATGTCATATTGCAGTGCCTTGTTTTTTTTCAACTCTAATTTTTTGTGCGGAGAAAAAGGATGATAAATTCAATAGCTTGAAAAATGGTTATCTATTTATAGAAATGCTTTTTTATATTATAATAAAAAAGCTTAATTCAAAACACGGGCACTGTAGCTCCTTCGAGAATTCTTGGATGTGTAATCAAAAAAGAATAAATAGAAAAAAAATAAAAAACTTTTCCCGCTTTTTCTGAAAAAGAAAATCATCTAAAATTTTGGTACAGATGAAGATACCAAAGGAAAAAAATCATGGCGTTTATGAAAGATCACAAATCGGGCAATCTTCCCATGCATTTATCTCAGTTTCGATTTAAATTGACTTTATTTGACGGGTCTTAATCTAGAAGATTACACTTTCTGTTTTTTTCTAGAAATATTTAAACGTTTAATTTTGTTTTGAAAATCCGTTGAATTTGTTGTCTTTTCTCATTTACAATATTTTTGGGTACATTGTTTGAATTATGTCAAAAAAACTTATATGAAGATATTAATCAATTCTTTCTCAATGCGGTAGCGAATTGTGGAAACTTTTTAGACATTTTAAAGACAATTAAAGGAGATCTTGATCTAAACATAACATTCGAAACTAGAGAAAATTTGGAATTTTTCAAGTTTCGAAAGTTGATTAGACTAACTCAATGATGAGTTACAAATTGATGCCATTGTCTATGTCTAACTCATTCTAACGAAAAATTTCAAACGTATATCTTTTTTCTTGAAAAAATATTTCAGGTAGATATACTACTGATATCAAACAGTAATAGACCAATTCACAATTCTTACAAATGTATTCGTATCATGTTAAATGTGAAAAATCGTACACAATTGAATAACTATGATACTATATTAATTATTTTGTGTTTTGTTTCTTCTACACTATAGCAAAATGTTTAGATATAAAAAGATGAAAAATAAGAGATATTTATATTTCTTATGATTCAGATTTATAAATAGAAAAAAAGATATATATTTACAAGAATTATACAAAAATCATTTTGATTAATTTTGATATCTATTACGGATCTAATGAATTTTTTTAATATTGATCACAATAACGACCCCATTGTTTCCATTGTGTTCGTTCTTCATCAGATGAAGACATTGCAATTAAGGCTTGAGCTAATAAACGAACATGTAATAATTGAGCACGATGTTGAGTCGTATGACGTTCATAAATAACTTTTTGACTTTTTATTCGTATATTATCAATTTTATCTTTTGATATATTTTGTAAACGTTTTATTTCTTTTATTAATCGATTCACAGATAAACATTGAATTGTTAAAAAATGTTCATTATGATAAAGATTAAGTCGTTCAAGGATTGGTACTAAATCATTTGTTGTTACAAGTGCAAGACCATTAGCTGGTAATTCAAATAATTTCGCTATCGCATAATCTACAGATTGACATGTTCCTAAACCAAATACATATTGTCTCATATAAGAAAAATATCTTCTTCCACCATAAAAAAATGAACTATCATTCTTCATTGTTTCACCATAACCAGGATGTTTTAAACAAGCTGTTAAATCTTTTCGAGAACGACAAAGATGAAAAGCACGTGAACGACATGGATACCATTCAAATATTTGAGCACCTGAAATAAAAAGAAGATTATCAGCTGATCGATTTATTGAACGATATGATAATGATGATGCTGCATGAGGTAACCAAGTAATTTTTGATGAAGATATACTATAATAATAATTATGAAATATATATGGATATGTTGAAAATATTTCTGATGATATAAATTGAAATAAATATTGACGACTTAAAAAACTTTCTTTTGTTGTAAAATGAAGATCATCAATAAAAACTAAAATACGTATTTGAAGTTTTTCTAATAAATAAATCCATTGATGATGCATTTCATTCCATAAAAGTCTGTCAATATCCCAAAGAAGAATAACAATTGGAATTTTATTTTGCATATAAAGATTTTCATCTAAATTACATGCATTTAAAAAATATTTTGTAAAATTTGTTTTATAATCAAATTTTATATTCTGAGGAAATGATCGATAAATTATATTTGATCGAATACCAATTTCTTTTAAATTTGTTAGAACTTCAGCAAATTCATGTGTAACATATGACCACCATGGTCCACCATTAAGATGTTCAATAAGAAAACATGTTTGTTGTTTTGAATATTGATGATAATATGAAGTGATAGTATCTAAATATAATTTTTTTGGATGACAAACTGAATATGAACGAAGGTCTATTGTCATTGGCATATCGGGATAAAGACGAGTTAATAATGGTGATGGTTTTTTTTCCCAATAAAATAATTTTGTTAATAAATATTGAACAAAAATAAATAAACAACACGTTAAAAGAAATAAAAGTCGCATAATACGAAATGAATTTAAACGATAACGAATATGTCGACGTATTGCATGCCAATAAATAATCATAGAATATTTTATTGTTGTTTTAATTAATGTAATACGCATCTTCTCACTCGAAATATGAAACGTGACAACTCATTTTTGTTCTTTTTACTCTCTATTTAATGCATCATTAACGCTATTTTTTTTTATTAATGTAAAATATATGAAGTGAAGCATATCAGGTCGAGGACACAACTTTCGGACTTCTTTTATTTTATTCAAAAAGTGATGCCCTTAGTTCTCGTGACGAGCTATCAAATTGAAATACAAATATTTTCGTAAGTTTAGTTATGTGAAATTTTTGCCATACAAACCATTTTTCTTTCAACAGACAAAATTACAGACTATCTTTTAATATTACATAAAACTTTTATTATTAATTAATTATTTTAAAAACTTTTTATATATTATTCAATGCAAAATTTAATGAACTAAATTTCCATAAAAAATACGTTTTAAAAATTACTAATTGTAATAATTAAGTATCAATTATAGTTTAGAATAATGAATTATTAATAATCGAAGAATTATATTTTCATTTTCATTTTATAAACCTATGATTCAAAAGAGTATTATAAACTAAACAAAATGATATAGAACGTTCATCAAAATGATTCGTCTTAGTATGATTATAAATAATATAATAACCTTCACTACTAGACTGTATTGATAACTTAATATAATTCTTATGTATAGTGGAAGTTTATAATTTGATAGGTACTATATTTTGTAGAGCAGAAGTCATACTTTCGAATAAGACATAACTGTTTTTTTTCGTCAAATTTATTATACAATTGGTCCATTGGTTATGTTTTTGATGATTAA